GCTAGAACTAAACATACAAACATGTACAATCATAATTTAAAGTCACGTTTAGGGGAAAAATATTATTTAATTACTTCATTTATTTAACAAAAGGAAAGAAAAATATGTAAAAAAATATTTTTTTTCTTTTAAAAATCGTATGTTCACGTGAATCAAATTTTTTTTTCAAAGTCTACAAGAAAGTAAAACTTTTTCTCCGATACCAAACTGTAATTCCCCAAAATTTCACAACGCTTGGGTGTTACCAAAAATTCAATTTCTTTGCACAACAATAAAAAATAGAATTCTTTAATAAACAAGATATTGGAACATTCATAAACTTAAATTTAAATCATGAAAACGTATCTTTTTAAAAATATATATACATTCTTAATTAACTAATTCAATGGTAATACTTGAACAATTCAAATTAATAAATCTAAAGTCAGTAAAACTTAGTGTTTTCCACATGTCGAAATCTCTTGGCAGTCTGCTGCACCATTTCGTCATAGTTCCAAAATCGATTTGAACTAACCTGAAAAATCTCAGCAAGGGTGAGTATTTAAAAAAAAAAAAAATACCCAATACGCTACGTGCAGTTTCCATACGCATTTATATAACAATAACCTAGACATTTCATACCAAATTTCTCTTTATGGAGTATACCAATGATCAAGCGAGATACCCATCATTTCTCATTTTGAAATTCCAAAGGATTTCACATTTTGTTAAGTCGAATCCGAATGTCCACTGGCAATTAATGCATAAATCATTGAACATAAAAGTATACGGAAACATCGACTTGCACGAAAGTATCTTACCTCGATAAATAAAATGAATTTTCTTTGAAAGAAATATGAATTCATGTTCCAAATCTTTTTCCTATATCTCTCTGCTACCGCGTTCACTTTGTAGGTACTATTTATTTTTGTGGTGTATGATGGGACCTCTTGCAAGGTATTTATAGTTGAAAATAATTGAGTTTTGAAACAATTGAAATAGACGAGCCGTGTTACATTAAAATTGGACAGAATAGGTTTCAGTATGTAGGTAAAGTTTAACTATTAAATCATAATTATCAATTGGAGATATAGGCTACATAGGACACACATGTGGACCGATATGTTAATAGGTTTCATTTGAATGGGAAAATTAATATAAGAATTTAAAGAATGAAAAGTAGTTTTAAGCAAATTAGGATTACCATTAAACTTTATCCAAACAATGTAGGATTACAATTAATGATTAGATATTTATCAAACTATGATTACAACTTATCCGTGTAGTAGGCTGCCACTTAATCATGAACCAACTTAATTAATTACTAATTAATGATAACGTCTTTGAACTACAGTAATTTTGACTTAACTTATCCAAATCAACATTTTCTCGAGTCAAAGACTTCCAATTAATTAAAACCTACTAATAAAGTCCAATATTGATATACTAATCTATGCCCTATCAAAAAATAATTATTTGGATCAAATAAAATAAGAAAACAAAATTTATTTCATTTTAATCCATCAACTTCAAGCTACCACATAAAACAATAAAACTTCTATCCTAAAAAAATTCTCGAGTGTTACAGTGTATTGCAAAAAATTCTCACGATGATGGAGAACTTTTGATTATTTCTGACGGTGATTTAAATCCTGAATTGGATTCTTGATACAACTTGTATTTTTCATATATGTTCCAATCGGGATTTGTTGTTCACATATGAAACAGTTTTAAAAGATGTTGTGGTAATGAGTAATATTACACCTTGTAGGATAGCTCGTATTGGAAGGAAATAAATTAAGAAGTTTGATGGATTGTGAGAACACTTGAAGCTATGAGACATCTTCCATATTTTAAGAGAAGTCTTGTCTTCTTGAACACTCTTGACTTGAAAGGGTACAAATGCATCGATGAATGTGGAATCCTAAAGGTAGTACATGTACTCATATTGTAATGAAAGGATAGAGAAGGTTCCAATCATATGTCTTACATGGTTCTATAGAATCTTTGAAGATCAATGAGCAAATTTTAGGCACTAGTTTAGGTTAGTACCGTCGAGTTTTGTTTGGGAATCTACATTGAAGCATACAAGTTATGAATAATTCTGTTTTGCCACCATTACCCTGTTGTGCCATCGTATTCAATTACTAGAAACTGCTCCAGGAGGAATCATTACACCAAAAAAGGTCTTTCGCAACGGGCAAAAAACGTTGCCAATACCCTTTAGCAGCGGTCACTCGTCTGTTGTCGAATGCGATGTTGCCGTAGGGTCTCAGTCATTTCCAACGGTTGCTGCCCGTTGCAAAAAATGTCATTTGCAACGGGCAACAAACGTTGCAAAAAAGGTCTTTTGCAACGGGCAGCGACCGTTGCAAAAAGCCCGCGACCGTTGCAAAAAAGGTCTTTTGTAACGGGCTTTGAACGTTGCAAACGACCTTTTTTGCAACATTCGTTGCCCGTTGCAAATGACATTTTTTGCAATGTTCGTTGACCGTTGTCCTCTCTTTTCTCTTCTCTTTTAACAACACTTTTTGACCGTTGCAAATAATAATTTTTTTTTTTTACATTAATTTTCTTTTTATTGCAATTACCTGTGAATTCCTTTTTACAGCAATTTGTACACGAGTATTTTAAGACAACAAGAAATTTAAAAGTAACTTCATTAAGACAATAAACATGATCACAAGTACTATTACTTCATCAAAATACAATACGCACTCCAATATAGAAGCTAGGTACCAAAGACAATTCAAGTCTAAAAGTTGAGTATATCATCAAGCCAAAGAGACTGATTTACAACAAAAAAAGTACGAAATTTTTGAAATTTTTGATCCCATGTACTCTTTATATGTTGAAGCTGAATCGATCAAACTAAAGAGTTCCTGAGCACACATTTGAACTTCTCCCTCGATTTGCATAATGGTTTCTTGCAATTTTGCCTTGGACATCTTCAAAAACTCTGATGCTTCCTTTTCAACATCGTCCATGTTGCCAGCCTCTGTTTCTTTTGCAAGGTCCTCAAATTTCTTTTGCACCTCCAGCATATGCCCGTCCAACTGCTCCAACATTGTGCATTCGAATTCTGTACATTTGCCTTCAGTTTTCCAAATGAGCCAAGCAAGATCAAAAGAATTTAAGACTGCCTCGCTTTCATGACGACGGACCAAAAGATGAAGAAAAACATTTGCATATCAGAAGGCCGTATGGTTCGTTCTAATAAGGGTTACACCAACTTTATTCGAAAATATTCTACAAAAGCCAGTTGGGATATTAGGTAAACGTATTTTAACATTACTTTCAGCTCCTTTTTTTCCAACCACCCTTTTTGCAAAATCATTAAGTGCCATCAGCAACATTCCATGAAGAGTTTGATTATCAAAATAATCAACAGAGTAAATGAATTTTTAAGAAGAACCAAACTTCCAAACACTTCATTGTGGATTCACAAAAACTGAAATTCAGTCAAGCAAAATCCTTATGTAGGCCGAACACAAAAAATTCATTTAGATTGTTTTGACAGAAATATGAGGCTTACATCCAATTCTTGCAAGAGCTCTTCGTTGGTATATGAGAGCTCAAAAATAGCTTTCCCAGCCTGAATGACATGTGTGTTTAGCTGCTCCTCAGCCTCTTTCGAAAGAACAAAGTTGGAAGCTAAATTTTTAGACATTCTTTGTCCTTGCAAACTGGAAAATGAAGCCGACATTTACTCTTTCCCTCGAAATCCCAAAAAACAAAGAGAAATACAAGAAGTAAGTGAATGAAGAAATAACGCCAATGCAATAGAAAACCAGTAGAAGAAGTAAACGAATGACGAAGTAATTGATGGAGATGAACAACAATAGAACAAGAGCTTGCAATTTTCATTGATCGATTTTCAATTCATCACCCAATGTCTAATAATGTCCTCTTAAAAATTCGGATGAAAATGCCAACCAAGAGAATCTCCTTCAAAAGCAGCATAACAAAATGAAAATACAACAGAAATCATCGAGAAAATCTAACTGGTTAAAAAATACTGCACTTGGCCCTTCAATTTTCGCAGTCCAGAACCCCCCAAAATCATCAAACAGACACAAAATCAGCTAAAAAGGAAGAAATTCGCGAAACCCACCCGTATCAATACCCATCAGCAAGCTTCGAGTGCTCAGCCTTAGCTCCCTCCTCAGGCTCTTCGATTTGCAAGTTTTCGAAGTGGTTATGGTCTTTTTCAGTCTCGGAGTCATCATCTTCATCTCCATCATTTTCTTCTTCCAAAGAGAAGAAGTCGCCTAAAGAAATGAGGCTGTCGCCTGGTTGCTGGTCCGGCTGGAGTTGGAGGCGGAGCAGTCGCGGCTTCGAGTAGAGATAAAGGAAAGCATTTAGTTTTTGTGTGTGTGTGAGGGTAAGCAACGGTAGAAGAGGAGGCGGAGACGAGAGAAGAGAATAGGGAAAAGCGAGAGGCAGAAATGGGAGAAGAGGAGGGAAAGAGGGAAAAATTAGGGCTAATGTTAAATAATTTGATTTTGAGGAGGTTGGGGACTTTTAGAACGTTAATTTCATTGAACGTCGTAAAAAGTCACACTTTTCGCAACGGCCAACTTTTCGCAACGTTCATTGAACGTTGCCAAAATGTCACTTTTCGCAACATTCCATGAACGTTGCAAAAGGTCACTTTTGGCAACGTTCATGGACCGTTGCGAAAAGTGACCTTTCGCAACGGGCTCTGAACGTTGCCAAAAGTGACATTTCGCAACTTTCAAATGAACGTTGCGAAAAGTGACCTTTCGCAACGTTCAATGACCATTGCAAAAAGTGAAACGTTTTGCAAGCGAAAAGTCTAACTTTTC